AAGGCTGTCCTTTAACACTTCAGTAGTACTAACTTGCTGGTGATAAATTCTTTAAGTATTGGTAGATTTGAAAAGAATGTCATCTTCATCTTTGAAAGATATTTGTATGGGTATAAACTCTAAGTTATAGATTTTTCTAGTTGGCATTAACTGTCCACTTGGCACAGCCTAGAATCTCCTGGCCAAAAAAGAGTCTCAATTGAGAAATTGACCTTTTCTGGTTGGTCTGTGGACATGTCTGTGAGGGGTTGTCTAGATTATCTTAGTTGATTTATGAGGGGCCCAGGCCACTATGGGTGGTGCCATTCCCCGGGCAGGTGGTCCTGGATAAGGAAGCTGGCTGAGCATGAGCCCAAGAGTGAGCCAGCAAGCAGCATTCCTGCACCTTATTCGCCTGACTCCCCTCAGTGACCTGGAAGTGTAAGCCATATAAACCCTTGCCTCTGCTAAGGTGTATTTTTGGTCAAGGTGTTTTATCCTAGCAGCAGAAAGGAAGCTAGACAATAGGCCTTTCTCTTCAGAGTGTTAAAGATAAGGTTTCTGATGAAAAAATCTGCTGCAAATTATATATATGCATGTATATGCATATGTATAGCTAGATAGAAGATAGATGATAGAGAGAAGATAGATGATACATAGATGATAGATAGATAGAAAGATAGATAGATAGATGATAGATAGATAGAAGATAGATAGATAGATAGATAGATAGATAGATAGATAGATAGATAGATAGGTCAATTGTAGATGGATAGATACTGGATGATACACATTGATGCTGGTTAGATGGAGAGATGATAGATAATGATGCTGGTTAGGTAGAGAGATGATAGATAATAGATGTAGATGAGCCGGGCGTGGTGACGCACAGCTGTAGTCCCAGGACTTTTGAGGCAGATGCATGTTGGTGGTATTCTCAGGATTTGTTGACTTATGATTTTCAACATGTTTGACAATTGTGGAAACATTATTTTTTAAATGGATATTTCTGTCAAAATCTGTCCCTCTTGCCTATGGGGTCTTCAATACCAAGTGCATTAGCTCTTGAATTTTCCTGCACATGGCTGTTACTGTTTAGAAGTAGTTTTCTCAGTATTTCATTTTATGTAGTTTCCATGAAGTCTTCATTAATCTCTTATTCAATTTTAAACTATTAAGTATATTTTTCATGCAAGGCATCATTTTTAAGTGTGAAAGTTCAACTTGGGTCTTTTTCTACACAAGCCATGCTTCCTCTGATCTTTTCAAATAAGTAAAAATATGTGTGATAACTTTAACATTCTGGTGTGTTGTTCTAACATCTCTCCATTTTAAGTTATTGTCTGGCTTCTTTGTATACTGGCAATCTTTGAGCTAAACTGCCACATGTGGCTGCACATTTGTCCCCTGATGGATAATTTTATATCTCTCTAAGTCTTAAGTTTATTGTGGGATATAGTTAGGTTTGGTCATTCAAGTCTTGCTAAATCTAGACAATTCATTTCACACCACGAAACATTACCTTCCTAAATACTCTACCTAGTGTCAACTGGATGCCCGCTACTTGGTTCAAACAGACTTTATTCTCACATTGGAGAATACTGAGCTCTGCTTCCTCCAGTCTTTCTAAGTGCCTAGGAATCTAGCCATGGCTGGTTTGCTCAAGTATGTGTGCTCATCAAGACTGTGCTGAATATTCAAGGAGGTTTTCTAGAATTCTTACCATCTCCCTCCAGACCCTCTCCTCTCTGGCAGTCTGTGCTATGAAATCTAGCTGCTTAGACCCTCTGGTTCTTAGCTCTTTCACCTAAACTTAGAGATCATAAGCCACATCCTAGAAACTCTTTCAGGGCTGTCATCTGGGAAAAATAGGGCTCCAACCTACTTACTTATTTGTTTGACAGGCATCACTGTCCACTGTTGCTTCAAGTTCAGTGTCTTGAAGACTGTCATTCATGTATTTTGTCTGAACTGTGGGTTGCTTTCACTGAGAGCTACGGGTCCTTGAACTTCATCTTTCCCAGAGGCTTGAGTCTCACTGGGTTTTGGGAGGATGACACAGCACTTGATGACAGAAGAAATAGTGCTTTTGGAATCAGAATTGGTATATCACTCACTGATATTGGTATCATGATTAAATCTAGTCTCCTCGCCTGATAGCTCATATGATGAACAACCTTAGCTCAGGATGCTTGTCTTGGTTAAAATAGAGGAATGATTTCCTGGACCTTTGTCTTCTCTAAGAAACCCATGGTGTAAGAGACTATTTCTATTCCTTCATTTTTAAGTTTTAACTTACTTAATTAGTTAATTGATTTAAATTCCTGGCAACTTAAGTGGCAGTTTTTTGAACCCATGAAGTTTGGGGATGATGCACACGTTAGTCACACATAGTTAAAGCTTAATTGCCAAAGAAAACATATTTTTTTTTCACTTATTTAAAAATCTATGGAATTCACACTTCCTCCTAAAGATACACAGGCCTTAGGTAACAGATGTGGCTGGGGCTGGTGTGAGCCACAGCAGGGAGGGTAGCCTACAGACCTCTAGTGGGAACAGAAGATAATCATTCTGAGGCTGGAGAGATGGCTCAGCAGTTAAGAGCACTGGTTGCTCTTGAAGAGGACCCAGGTTCAATTTCCAGTACCCACAGAGTGGCTAACAACTATCCTTAACTCCAGTTCCAGGGGAATTTGACACCCTCTTCTGACATCTGTAGGCACTGCATGACACTGATGCACTTACGTACATGCAAGCAATACACTCATACACATAAAATAAAAATAATAAATAAAATATTTTTTAAAAAAGATAATCACTCCCTGACTCTTCTCCTTCCCTGGTTTTTATTACTTACACTCTTCCATCATTTCTTTCCACCGTGATCCTGGATGCTCCCACTTGGGGTAGGGTTGGGTTGATCACATTGTTGTTCCAAAGAAATTTAACCTTCTGAACATCACCAATGTCCACAGAAGAGTCAATCTCATGGATATGAGTGTTTCCAGGTTGGAGAAAGCCCCTAGGGAGTTAAGACAACAAAACTATACATGATGTACACAAGTATATACAGAAATATATATATAAATACATATGTGTATATATGGGTATGTGTGTGTGTGTGTGTGTGTGTGTGTGTGTGTGTGGTATTTAAACCCAGCTTAGAATGCTTCTCAAGTTAAGTTGGTTAATGAAACGTTGGCCATTTGACCAATGAGATGGCTCAGCAGACAAAAGCACTTGTTGCCAAGCCTGACAGCCTGAGTTTGATCCCTGACACATGTGTGTGCACATGTGCATGCAACACCATACACACACACACACGCACGCACACACACACACACACACACACACACACAAATAAGTAAATTTACTTTTAAAAAAAGGAAAAAAAGAGCATTTGTCATTTTAAGGTATTAAACACATTCTTACGTGTGTATTAACCTAATGGTAGCTTTTTCTAGCAATGATTTTCATTGCTTCAAGGTCAACTCTCACTTTAATAAAACTGGAAATATGTTTCCTCACAATTCTCTCACAATACAATTTTTGAGAACACCATCGTGTCATCTTTTACCAGCTTTTTCGCAAGGAGGATGAGTATGTACTGCTTACAGCTCATGTGTCGGGCATCAAGGTAAACACTAGTGGTTTTCTTCAGATACAGCAGAGGAAAAAAATTAGGAAATGTGTTAAGGTATAATGTGAAAAAACTTTCCTGTATGCTATATGTAATGACACTTGTGCATGGTTATTTTTAAAAAATATTATGCAATATTAACACTTAAGAAGATCAGAATAATATTTTACTCACTTGAAAATTTCATACTGTTTGGAGTTTCCTCCAGTTCCAAACAAAGAAACTAGTACTTGTCCAGTAACCCTCTTTCCAGACAGGGTGACAGATACCTGATACCGCCAACCTTCAAGAGGGAAACGGTCATGGAATGTCAATTGTAGAGAAGACACAGTGAAATCAAATTAATTTGGGTCCTATTGCATCAGAATTTTTGAAAAATTGTATATGGTGTTAGTAAGTCTATTAACGACATATCACAAGCACACCCTGCTTAGGGGTCCATTGCTATGTACATAGTTTATTAGAAGCTTTCTAAAATTCATAGGCATTTTTCTTCAAGTCAAAGGACTGTGAAATATATTTTGCTTTCAATGTAGTAACTTAGTCATTAATTTTTTTTCAGTGTTCTAAGGGCTCTACAGTAAAAGGTGTTAGAAAATAGTAGAACGTCATTTTGCTTTATTTTCATTGATCACCAAACTTTAGAGCCCTGTCATCTTTTGTGTAAGTAATCTGCGCTATCAAGATAAACACTAGTGGTTTTCTTGAGATATGGCAGAGGAATTTAATTGATATTTAATTCAATTTTGTATTAGCCTTGGGAATATGCCAAGTTAGAATCAGTAGTAAACTAATGGGTTTTACCATCTATGCCATCCTGGGCCCAGTTGGAGGTGGGATAAACTTTGTCTTTGGTTTCTACAAGGCTGTTCAATGCCTTCTCTCCCATGGAAGCAGTTGCCTTCCTCCACTACCCAGAGAGGAAGGCTGGAGCCTGTTCTCCTGCCTCAGTGTCCCCTCTCCTCTCATTCCCAGTCCCTTTGGGTCTTCTGTCTGAAACCTCGCTGGGCTCTGTCAATTCCTTTCCATTCAACCACCCTGCTACCTCTTGGAGATTCCTCTGCTTGTAGAAAACTTCAAGCTTCTGCTCAATGCAACTTATAACTGAACACAAAGAGGAGGAAGCAGAGGACGCCTTCTGAATTCAGCACCGGAACCAAATGGGAAGAAATGAGTTTTTGTCTCATGAATAGCCCAGGCTTCATGCTCTGTTCTGCTGCTCAGATTGCATCTTTACCTTGAGCGCAATGTGAGCATTTTCCATGCTGGGAAAAAGAGTTTAAAGCTTTCACATGGAAAGCAATTTCACACATTATCAGTGAACATGAGAAAATATTTAGTACTTGGAATTTAAGGTAAATAAAATAGGAACTTACGAGCAAAATTGCTGGCATCACCAGTGTTTAGATAAAATTTCCGGCCCACTCCACTTGTTTTCCCAGAAAATCTATCAGCATAATGACCCATCTGTGGGCATCCTCCACTTGCACAAGGGAAGCACTTGTCCTGGGGAAAGTAAATGATGAATGAGGATGTTTTTCCATTTAATAGTGAACCATCTTGCACAACTTGCTGGAACTGAAATATTCTAAAGTTAATTCTGTTCTGATGGTCAAAGGGACCTTGACTGTGTTTCGGCAGAGGTTAGCATGCATTCTATTCCCAAGGATAAATCAGGAATGTCACTGTAAGATAACACAGTACAGTAAGAACAACGACATGAATGTGTCTATCTTTTTCTCTTTTACTTCTCTAAGTTGTCGAAGAATGTCTTTGCCCCAAGATATTCATCTGTGTACAGGATTGTTAGAATAGGTAGGTAGATAGATGATTGATAGATAGATGATAGATAGATAGATAGATAGATAGATACATAGATAGATAGATAGAGATATAGAGAGATAGACATACAGAGATATAGATATCTTTGAACAAAAATACAACCCAGGGCCTCTGACATGGAATTCAATATCTAGAGCATGATAGGCAGGAACCACATCTCCAAAGCCTAGAATTTATTTCAGCATGTTGCATAAGCAAGAGTAGAGGTACAAATCAGCTACTGATGTGAAAAATAGGATCCATGGGGCTGGAAAGATGGCTCAGCGGTTAAGAGCACTGATTGCTCTTGCAGAAGACCTGGGTTTGATTCCCAGCACCCACATGGCATCTACGAACATCCTTAACTCCAGTTCCAGGAGAATCCAAAGCCCTCTTCTGACCTCCACAACACTGCACGACACGGGTGCACTCACATACATGCAGGCAATATGCTCATACACATAAAATAGAAATAATAAATAAAATATTTAAAAAATAGGATCCATTCAGAGGGCGATAGGCTCAAAAGTCAGGCCTTTCTTCATAGCATATGATTGCATGTATTCTCCCTAATATGTAGAGAAAATAGTTGAGTTAGCCAGTAAGGCTTAACCAGGTGCCTGAAGAAGACAGACACAAGAAAATGTCCTCTTCTCCTGAGACAAGGGATTATGGTAAGAGGGACAGAGAAGGAAGGATAGAGTGAGGGGGGTACAGACATCCAAATCCCCACTCTGGAGGGGAAGGTGTCTCTACAGAAAAGCTTGCGGAGGACTCCTGAATCAATGGACCAGATGATGGGTCAGATGGAGTCTCAGGTGAGCACACAGGAAGCTGAGGGGAGGCTGGACCACCACAAAGTGGTCAAATGTTTGAAATAACAGTGACAGAAGTGACTCTGTTTTGTGACCCAGAGTTCATCTTCTGTTGTATGACCCACTCCATGAACTTGCTGACATGCTAAAATAAAGTTATTTTCTGAGTAGGAGCATCCTGATTAGGCAAAACTGCACTACCAAGCTTCAAAAATAATGTGAAATTTGTCTCTATTCCTATAATGTGAGTTTGCCACTCACTCCCTTTCCAAATTCTCCATATACAAAGCCTTTAAATGTAATCATGTTACTTCTTAAAGAAAGCAATGCTGGGGCTGGAGAGATGGCTCAGTGGTTAAAAGCACTGGCTGCTCTTACAGAGGACCTGGGTTCAATTCCCAGTATCCACATGGTAGCTAACAACTATCCATAACTCCAGTTCAAGGGAATCTGACACCCTCTTCTGACTTCCATTGGCATTGCACACACAGATGCATTTACATACATGCAGGCAAAACACTCGTACACATAAAATAATAAAAATAAATTTAAAAAAGAATTCAATATATAAATCAAGAAGATATCAAAACAAGATGAAAACTCAAATATTGGCTATTGTGAACATTCACAGAAATGTTCACACAGCCATAACCTTACAATTTAAAAAGTTAAGGAAAAATTTCAGTGTTTATCAGCATCCTATGAACATAGCTCAGATGTCTGTATACTAATTCTCTCATTTAGAGTTACTTCTGAAATAAAGTGAGTGTTTGCTAGATACACAGAGAAGTAAGAAAAAACATGGTTGACACAGGACATTTCATTTTCAACCTGAATTCTCTGAAGCCCTTGAATGCTTCATACTAAAGGATACTTCTATGACTGAAAGTGTATACAATAGGAAGGGCAAAGATCCACGGAATGACATCATGTAACGTACAGTCTTTCATTGAAATTCATTCAGCTCCTTACCGCAGTGAAATCATTGTATGAGGCACAGGAGAACCCAGCAAAGCCAGTCGGGTTGACGATGCTGTCTGTGTAATACTTGTAACTTCTTAAGTGATTGCAGGCCACGAAGTCACGAGTTCCTTTGAAATCAGACATGACATCAGTGACAGATTTTAATTTTCTAAATTACCAGTGTGGAGAATACCGGGTATGGAATAGGCTTCTCTAATAGAGTGAACTCATAGAGATCACAGGATGAAATCACTTGTATAGTATATTTATGATCTGAGATACATTCACAAGATCAGCACTGCTTAAGATTAAAAAACTGAATGTTGTTTTTAAGTGAAATGAAAAAGTAACGAGAAGAGAAAGGGTGGTCCATATAGACATAAATGCAAGTTAGTAACATATTACTTATGTGTATTTTTTAAAAATTAAGATTTGTGGGAGTCTCTTGGACTACCCTGACCAGCTCCAAGGGAAGTTTCTCCTGTCTGGCACTGTTTCTTGTTATATAGCCTTCAGCTATACACATGCACTCATGTACATATATTGTATTGTATTTTTTTTAGTTGGCTTTTGAACTAATACATTTCTCTCTGGTTTTTCATACTACCCACACATTATTTATCTCTCCTCTCTCTCCCCGTCTAACCCTCTCTCTTCCCCCCACAGTTAAAGACTCCTCCATTTCCCCCCTTCCCCCTTGATAATACCTGTCTCCTATTAGCACCCTCTTTTAAGCCCCTTCTTCCCCTTTATCCCATGTGTACCAGTCTGGCCTCGACCTCACAGGAATCCACTTGCATCTGCCTCTTCAGTGCTAGGATTCAAGGCATGCACCACCATGCCTGGCACTTTCCACCCATTTGTATGAAATTTTACCATAATCGCACAAGGCCTCAGGCTTTGGAGGTGCTAGGGTGTATAGGCTGCAGAAGGCTAATGGAAGAGGGGGATCCATCTATGTGGCTGTGGAGGAGCCATCCTCTGTGCTGGGTGAAGACTTTCCAGTTTGGCTTCTTTGAGGTCACCCGTGCCCTTACAGGCAGCCCTTCACCCATGCTCTGTAGGTAAGCCCAGGAAACTCATTGGTTCTCCAGAGTGAAAAAATTAATATTTTTTTCTTTACCTATATGTCTGTGTGTCTATGCATATGGATACAGTGTCCAAGGAGGTCAGAGGCAATAGATGCCCCTGGAGCTGGAGTTTATAGGTGGTTTTGAGCTGCCTGACATGGGTGCTGGGAAATGAACTCAGATTCTCTATACACACTCTTAACCACTCTTAACCACCAAGCTATGTCTCCAGACTTGTGAATTACGTTCTTGAAAAGTTGACTGAAAATAAAACGTCTTTTGTAAAGTCTCCTGATGTCCACTTGTCCCACTGGGAACCTGTATCTCAGGGATGCAATTAGAAGACCTTTGTTATATAAAATATGACATCTGTACAATTCCAAAATAATTAACATGTTTAGGGACACAAAGCATAAAGTTTCCCCAGTGAAAATCTTGGTACCCATAATGGTTTTACCTTCCCAGATTCCATCCATGTCAACAATCTGAGAGAGAGCATTCTTCTGGCATCCGGGCATTTCTTTTCCTCCATTTGGAAAGAAATCTAGATGACCCACAGTTTGGCTCATTCCTAATCCTGAAGAATTTTAGAAAATAAAAGAAGGCTTATGTTACTTGTGGATGACTCAAAATACTACTTTAGTGTAAACTACAGGCTTCACATCTAGGACAGCTCACCCATGTTGGGAACCATGGGGGCAGAGTCTGTGTGAATTACATCCACAAATTGGGCATCGCTGGGGTCCAATCGGACTACTTCAGGTGTGTCCTGAAAGTAAGGTTCAGCAGGATCCAACCCTGAAGTAAATAAGATAAGTCATCATTATTTCAGTGTTCAGACATATCCAGCTTTGAGAGAGAGAGAGAGAGAGAGAGAGAGAGAGAGAGAGAGAGAGAGAGAGAGATCCTTCCTTGCCTTGCCATTTTCTGGAGGGAAATCTGCTTCTAGTTTGCTATTTGTTTAAAATTGAATTTTCCCTAAACTTAGAGAATTTGCCTCTACTTAAGGATACTTAGTACCTGGGGGAATCTTGGTCACAAATAGCAGAAAAGGGGCTGACCTTGGGAAACAGGACTATAAATCTGTTTAAGCTGAAAGTTTTCCTACTAGATGGTAAACTCCCAGGACAGCAAGGGCCTAGCATGGCATAGCACCAAGTTGAGCAACAGAAAAGAACATCCTGGAAGAACTTCTTTCCAAAAAATTAATAGAAATTCCAGATACCCCAATAAATCCAAATGCAGCCCAACTTTTCCAAAGTATAAAAAAGAGAGGAGAGATGGGGATATGACTCACTGGGTAAAGTCCTTGCCATGTTAACATGAGAGAAAGAGAGAGAGAGAGAAAATATATGATCAGGTCAGTACATAAAATTGGAAGACAGAGGAGGAAAGTGGTCATTCCTTGAAGTAGCAGATCTCAGATTTTCCTAAGATGACCAGGGTAGCCAGCATGTTCCCCCCTAAGGTTTGTAAAATGGAATTTCAAATGTACTTAGCAGCACCCAGAAGATAGCTGGCTGCCCAGGTCTAACCTCCTTTTCCCCAGCTCTGAGAGTATAGGCTCAGATTCATTATCTGTTGGTATCAAAATAGAATTTTAGTTCACTATACAAACTTGAGCCAGAAGTTAAATTCCATTTGTTCTATTCCTGATCCTTGTCTTTTGTGAAGATTTGAGCATGGGGGAAATAAGGGGATAAGGTCTCTGGGTTCTCAGTTTAGGCATATGAAATTTTGCAGAGGACACTGTAGCCTAAGGGTCAATGTCAATTACAAATCCACCAAGCCTGATTTCTGATCATGCCACCCAATTCAGAAAGTGTGGCAAACTAGAAAGAACATTGCATCAAATTCCCTCCTGCACTTCCTTTTGGAACCCACAGAGGCAATGTGTGTTCTAATCCTGTAGCTTTTGCTGTTGTGACTGACCTGTGATTCGTCCAATGGCCCCACTCAACCTCTTTCCAGCTTCCCCAGCAACATGGGAACCCAGGCTGTGGCCAATGAGGTGGATGTTGGAGGGCGAATATCCAAAGTCAGACTGTTGGAGAGTGAAGGAAATCAGGCTTTGTCATCCCAAAACCAACACCCCCCCCCCGGCATCTTTCTATGTAGCCCTGACTGGCTTAGAACTCACTATATAGACCATGCTGGCCCCAAACTTATAGACATCCACCAGCCTCTGCCTCCTGAATGCTGGCATTAAAGGCGTACGTCACCACACTTGGCAAGATGTCTTGCTGACATAGGTATTTTGAACTGTGCACTTATATAGGTGGCAGCATCTGAATGCTCTGTATTGCTCATAGCAGTTTCTGTGAAAGCGGCCTCTGTACCAAAATGAGAAGATCACACTTGCCACCAGTGACCAAGAATTGATACTGCAATGCTTGTGCAAATAAACTTACTAAAATAGCTCTTACTCTCCCCCCATAATCTCATACCAGCTCATGTACTTCTTACTGACTTCCCCAGAATTTACTACCTCAGCCCCCAAATTTTCATCTCTTCATATTTTTCCTTCTAAAATTCATCTCTCTCTGTATGCAGATTCATTTCTGTCTTTCTTTGTCTCTATGTCTCTCTCTCCCTCTCTCCCTCTCTCTCTCTCTGTATCTCCTTAAGTTTTCAATCTCTTGAGAGTATCCATCTACACATGTAAAAATGAATAAAAACCATCTTCTTTTTCCCCGTTAATCTGTCTTGTTCCTTATCCCAGTGCAAGATTCCAAATAAATGCTATGGTGGGGGTGATGATCCAGCCAGGAGATTCTGGGACACTTTAGTTACTCTGGAGCTTACAGTTGGGATCCTGGGAGACTGACAGATGCTGGCAGAAGAACAGCAAGAATTTTAACTGAAGTCAGCATTTCCTGTTCTCTGTATGCAATGCTTGACCAAGAAAGAAAAGGGGGCTGGAGAGATGGCTCAGCGGTTAAGAGTACATTCTTTTCCTACGGAGGACCCAAGTTCAATTCCCAGCATTTACAACTCATAACCACCCGTAACTCCAGCTCCAGGGGATCCGACACCCTATTCTCTGTGGGCACCAGCACTCATGTACATATACACGAACACATATACACATAATTAAAAATAAAAAAAATAATAGCAGACCTGATAAGTATTTGAGGTCAAAACCCCTACCATGTTTGGAAAAAGAAAATCTTGCATGTTAATAAAAGTATTTGTTTGCTTGAAAAGATGAAATAAAATAAAGTTTTGTTCTTTCCTTTAAAAATTCAGATTAGCAGGAGAAAATTTCATGCATCGCCCAGTTCTTATATGGAGGAGGAAGCATGTTGTGAATCTTGTTGATTTTTATAATAAATAAACTATAGTTTAAAAGAATACAATGCAGAGAGCTCTTGTTCCTCAACAACCATCTTATCGGTACTGGCAGGTAAATCAAATTGAAAACCAACTGAAAGGAAGGCATTAACTGGCCTTAGGTGCTCCCTAGCAAGACTGAAAAGTAGAAATCAGTTTTAAAGCAAAGTTAAAAAAGAAAAACATTTAAAAAGCTCTATAAATTCCTTTCTTCAGCAAATTTCTTTCTCTGAAGAAACATTCATAAGAGTTACTTTTGAATTAGCTTGGTTTAGGGCTCTTAGTTAATAGGACTCTTGGCTTGGGTTTGTGAATGAGTCTTTCTCTCCCAGGGAAAGCCTTTGCCTCCCCCATGTGTCTTACTTTGACTCGACTTCCCATCTACAAGGGGAACACGGATTATCAGGCCTTGCTGTACAACAGCCCCAGGAATAGAAGTCTAAGTCGTAGCTAAGCATAGGGCCTGTTGTGTTCACATTTTTCTTATCTTTTGTCTGCCTCTTGGGAACGGCTCTGGATTTTGGAAGAGTTGTGTTCTTTTGATCCTCCTTTGAAAAACCACAGGGATAAGTCATGAAAGACTTGGTTTTCACCTTAAGTCACTTGTAAACTATGCTGTTGGTTCAAGATTTTAGTTGATATTCACAGCATGCTAGAAAATTTTCAAATGTCTTCTGACTTAAAACATAAGCATGTACTTGGAAAGAAATTGTTTTATTAAAACATTCTGAAGTTGAACAACTCTTGAGCAACTCTAAATATGAGACAGAGAATCTTCTTATTTATAACATACTTGAAAATTTGCTCCCTGATATAAAGTAGATTGAAGATAACAGAGTAATCTTCAACTGTGGAAAAAATTAGAATTTTCCCCTTAAAGTCATTCAGGCCACAACCAGTTCTTGGAGGAAGTTAAAACCACTGTTCTTATCTTGTGAAACTGACTCTTTACCAGGTAAGAATTTATCTCTAGAACAATCCAAAGCCCACCTAACTTTACCAGTGCCCAAGCCTCATCTATATCTCAGAACTCCAGCAGATGCTGTGGTCAGGATACTGGAAACGGAGCTGCCCTATACATATAGAAGTAGGCAAAACTCAAACGGCAACTTTAAAAGAAAGAAAAGGGGATAGTTTTTAAAGGAGCTTCCTAGTCAGAGCTCTGCCTAATTGAAAGCTACTAATTCAGCTGTAACTCAATCATTTGGAGCCCATGGGAATTTCTTAGTAGACTGAAATCCTCTTCTCAAGCCCTTGATAACTACATGCTCTGTCTCCTCTGTGTCCTTTCTTATTAGTCTGACTTTTGACTATTTGAACATTGGACAAATGAAAAAAATCTTAAATGTATTTTCTATTAAATAGTAGTAAAAGATTTCCATGTCAACAAGCAAGTTTAAATTGCCCACTAAAAAAAAAATCCCCAAAGCCCAATCAAACAAACAAGAGCAAAAAACAAACAAACAAACAAACAAAACCCTCCAAAACCCAACAACACAACTTGGATTCAAGCATCCTTGCATAAACTAATGAGCCTTATGTCATTATATCCATCTCCTGGTTAAAAGTTTAAATGAAAGTTATTAGGTGCCAGGCTAGTTCAGTTTGTAAAGCACGAGATCCTTAAGTTAAAGCTAACATGTCTTGTAGTCTGCCTGTAGGTTTATGCTTATACTTAAGTTTATAGTTGGCTATGTAATCTAAAATCTTTATTCAAATTGCTCATCAATTAAATCTAGCTAAAACTGGTAGAAATATAGGAATTTAGCTCAATGTTCCAGTCTATGTGATTTTTAATAATCTTGGGTAAATAAAACTAGTCTAATGTGAATTTAATGAAAATAGTGTGTTGTCTGAACCACAAGAAACAAAATACTTGTGCATTTAATTTCAGTGTTATTTTTTCTTTTGTGATTCCTGCCTGATGTGTACCTGTTATAAAAATGGTCAATTAAAAAAATAACTCAAGGGGCTGGAGAAATGGCTCAGGGATTAAGAACACTAACTGTTCTTGTAGAAGACCTGGGTTTGAATCCCAGCACCCACATGGCAGCTAACAACTGTCCATAACTCCAGTTCCAGGGGATCCGACAGCCTCTTCTGTCTTCCAGGGGCATTGCACGACACGGGCACACTTAACCTACATGCAGGTATAACACTCATACACATAAAATAAAAATAATAAATAAAATATTTAAAAAAAAACTCAAGCATTCGGGAGGCAGAGGCAGGTGGATCTCTGTGAGTTCAAGGCCAGCCTGGTCTCCATAGTGAGTTCCAGGTCAGCTGGGCTACAGGGAGATCCTGTCTCAAAAAGACCAAAAAAATAAAATAAAATAACTCAAAGGGCTGGAGAGATGACTCAGGGGTTAAGAGTGCTGGCTCCTGTTGCAGAGGAGCCTGATTCAGTTCCCAGCACCCACATGGTAGCTAACAACTGTTCATAACCTCAGTCCCAGGAGATTCCAATGTCCTCTTTTGACCTCTGCCGGAATTGCATGTCAAGAGTGCACTTACATACATGCAGGCGGAGCACTCACACACATTAAAAAGATAATGAATAAATAGATAGATGATAGATGATAGAGAGATAGAGAAATAGATAGAAGAACCCATTTTAAAAAAACATAAATAACTTGAGATGAGAGGTGGCATTATCTAATAAGTCTTCTAATTCCCAGAAGTTATCAAAGCATAGTCATCAAAAACATGTAAATTAAATGA